ATGTAAGAGGGACTCCTGTAACCCTGCTGAGCAGAGCGTCTAAGTGATACTTGGCAAGAAGCAAGACCCTGCAAAGGGGTGGCATGTGCCTCACACACCAACCCTAACAATTAAGGATAGATCAAGAATTAGCAGAGCACTAAATTCCGGAAGCTAGACAAATGGGAAATTTTTTAAATCCAACTAACTTCAAAGAGATCAAGTGCAGAGTCCCATGAAAACATAGCAAAGTCACTTCAAACAAGCCCAGCAACTTGTCACCAAGACTCCTCCCAAAGGAAGTATGGAGTTAGAGTGGCAGAACACATTTGAGAGTTGAGTGCAAAACCTCAGCCCAATGCTACCCCTTCTCAAGCCAGTGTCCTCACCACTTCTCTTCCAAAGGAGCAGAGCTGTAAGACCTCCTCACCAGCAGCAAATCTCAGGCCTGAGAAAGGGTCTCCAGCCCTCAGAGCCCACCTCTGCATGCACAGGCACCATTTAGTCACTTCAGCAGTGCTCTGGAAAGACTAACCAATTCACAACACCATACATGAGAAAATCCACAGAACAGTGTGCAGGCCCAATCTTCATGCAGCCCACAAAGGGGCAAGAGGACCCAATTCCTAAGGCCCCTGACCTGTAATTCTTTTTTACCTCCCAGAACAGGTCAGAAGGATCTGACCACTGACACTAACACTAAGAAGACTGGGTGAGCAGCTGAGATGTTTAAGTTATACACATGTATTCATTCCAACAGCATTTTATTAGGGTGCTCAGACATTTACACATAATTTCTTATCTGCCATCGAATCCCCCCCAAAAAAATCACTCAAAAAATGTGTACACAGAGACATGTCAGGAAAAAGTAACTCAAAGCTTAATAATCTTAAAGTTGGGTAACTTGCCCAGGTCACATAGTGGTAAACCCTGGTAGACCAGGACACAAATTCAAGTTTTCAACCATCAGGTCAGTTTCTTTCCAATACACCACTGCCTGCAAGAAAAGGTTACCTGGAATAAAACTGTCATGAAAGATTGTCTTACCATAGGAGAACGTCACACCCAAATCATTTTTCAGGAATGAAGCACTTGCTTTGAGAATGCTATCACTCTTTCCATTCAAATAAGAATTCTTTCCAATAACTTACATTTAGAAATAAATATGCTTAGGTTTAAGAGAAGGATTATGTCTACCAATATATTAATCTACCAAAGAGCAGCTGTGCAGAGGACTACTGTTTATAAATAAATTGTATTTAACTTTCTAACAAAAACATCTTACAACCCAAAAGACTTGACATCATATAGGAAACTCAAAACTGTGGGTTTAAAGAATCCTGGAAAATAATGATTTAGCCCCAAAACCTTTTCCTCTAGCTCCAGCTGCTTACATACGCAACCCCTAAAAGCAATCCATGTAAAACCCTCAAAAGGTGGAGCTAAGTGGGTGGGCAGGAACCAAATATTAAATACAAGCTATGCTCACTCTGTGTACTGAAAACCTAACCATTAGTGTGCATTCTTTTCTTCTACCTTGAAAAAACAAACAGGACAAAACCTATCTTAAACATGATTAGATTGCAAAGAGCACAACACATGCTTGTCATGCAGTATATCTCCAGATTGCCAAAGCTCTCTGTTCTATCAACACAACGCCTACCAACTGCAAAAATAATTACTGTCAAAGCTCCACTAGGTGATTACATAAAATTCTTCTGAAAAGCTGCAAAATTATTTAATCAAAAAAAGCTAATTAAAAAAAAAAACAACTCTGCTTACCTGGTAGAAAACAGGTCTCATTTCTGCAGGTTTTCTTTTATGACATTAAGCCTAATACAAGTATGTGCCATGCACCAAGGAAATCTTATAGCCATATTATTTGCTATATTCAAATTCTTCCTTTCTCTCCTTTCTTTCTAAATATATTATACAAAGTAAGTATTTCCATAGACTTTTCTGCTATCTTTATATTTCAAACCAACAAAACTATTTCAGAGATCAACATAAAGACCTCAGGCTGAGAAAGGAAAAGTTAACAATGCTACTGTACAAAAGAAGTTCTCTTCTGCCAAGCTATAAAGAGTGCTTAAAGATTGCCATCAGAATCCCTTCTGGAAAGAAAGGAGTATCGTCTCATTTGCATAACAGACTTTAGACATTTTTAAAAGTAAAATCAACTTTCAACTCAGAAAGAAAGCCATGCAACATGCCTGCTTTTGGATGGGGATCCACACTTGAGAATTCCAAGCCCGCCTTCACTTACATTCTGCACACACACAGGGCAAGTTCAGAGGAGCCGCTCTCTGTGTAAAAAGGAGCTCCTCTAAGGTCTGCTCCTAGGGAGGTGGGAAGGAGTGTCCTCTCTCCTTCTCATCCCCAGGCAAGGAGATGGAAAAGACTCCCAAACTGTTCTTCCCAGTCACATCCACAAGGACGTCCTAGCGCTGCCAAGCAGCTCTGTGACTGGGGAAGGCTCGCCCCCTTCCTCTACATCCCCACCCCACACTGCAAGCCTGCCTGCTCTGGAGAGGCAGCAGGTTATGCAGACGTGGGGAAGACAGAGTCACCAAGTGCCACATGTCCACAGTCAGCTTGGAGGGGAGGATACAACAGCATTTCAGCAGGGGACTGCTAACACACCTCTCCTTCCCAAACAAAGCAAAGACTCTCTGAACCCCTGCGCCTAAGGAGAAACTGTTTATTCCTTTCAAACACCCCACCTTCACAATAGCACAGGCTAACTGCTAACAATACTGGGGGGGGTGGTCTTCCACACAGGAGAGGCTGACAGGGTCACACAAAGAGCTGTGACAGTAATAGGCACCCTTAGAGAGACAGAAGGCAATCAATTATGAGCCATTTGCAGAAATTGCAGGGCTGTCAAAAGCCTGGTTACAGCTGTGCTGCATCGAGCCAGCTCTGTGTGATTTTCGATAGAAATTATCCCTTATTCTTAAGTCTAGAATACTTGTTAGTACAATATTCCAAACAGCCCAGGTTCAACCAGAGTCTAATGTGAAAAGAAGTTAATGACCCCTGAGGAGTCCCGGGAAGCAGAGGGAGGTTTCCCAGAGGAGCCACTGGCTCCTGCAGACCTCACAGGCACCTACTAGAGGACAGTCGCAGGGGACCCTGGAAGATCCACTCCTGGCACACACTGGGCACACGTCAGAAAACGCACACATCACCACGTTAAAAACAAGAGGGCTGCTGTCAGGCATAGCTCAATATTTTGAGGAGGTTAAAAAAACACAGAATTTTTTAACTTCCTAAATGTGAAATTTTCTTTTCCTTGTCACATTTATCATCACAATTCTTACTTTTGCTGGCTACCAGTTCATTTTTCCCAAGAAACAAAGAACATGAGAAAAGAGTAACTCTTGGGTATTTCTCTATTCTTAATGAACTGAAATCCATTATTATATGTAGATGGATATCTTCACATCTGAAAATAAGGTGAAGTGATTACTTTATACTTGGGAGGAATTCGACAGCAAATGCTTAACCCATTTACACAGGCTGAATGTCCTTGATCCAAAAAGCTAATGCCCAAAGTGCTACAAAGTCTGAAACAGCAACAGGACACCACAGGCAGAAAGTTCCACACCCGAGCTCATGAGGGCATAATCAAATGTAACTGTACTGAAACACTGGACAAGGTACCTTCAAGTTACAGGCGTAAGGTGTATATGAAACGTAGATGGACATGGGCCCCATTCCCAAGACACCTCATTATGAATATATACACATTACAAAATTTGAAATCTGACACACTTCTGGTCCTGAGACCTTTCTGATAAGGACATTCAACTCATACTGAACTCCATGGGTTTCCTCTTCTATGTTCCTGGGTGCGTGTGTTATCTGCTGCCTCCCTTCCCACTGAAAGCCAAAGCTCAGAGCACCCCAGTTTCAACCTGAACTGCAGCTTTCACTCCTCTTCTGAATTTCTGACAGACTTGCCACTGTTCACTTTGTAACTGCTGTGCTTAGCTGTGACAGGCACTGTCACAGAACAGAGTTGGAAATGGCCTTCACACACTAACTTTTCATACATCTACTTTACTGAGCCTTAAAATAAACGTTTGGAGAAAATTAATTTCCTTCTTAGGGGCTTTAATGTGTAACTCAAGCAGATTATCACAGCGAGAAAACCATTATTCCTACTGGCATTAAATGATTTCCCCCAAGCACCAACTGTGCCTGTCCCCACAGCCCTCAACTTAATCCAGGGCTTTGTTTCATGAGTATTTCAGGGGCATTTGCTTTATATATATATAAATTTATTTATATGTATATATATATATATATACATATAGATATAGATTAAGACAAAGCAGTCAAAAACATTGATTTGATGTTCTTAGGATCTATCACATCACAGAAAAAAATTGATGAGTATTAGCTACGATATTGGGCTTCCAAAAGTAAATAACCCATGAGAAACAGAAGAGTGTAAGACTAACAACACTGATGGGCTTCACTTTAGTAAAAGGAATTGAGTCCTGGAGGCCACAACCAGATCAGTCAGGGCCTTTCAGGGAGCCCAGGAAAGCGAGGAGAGATTTTGGGTGTGTGTGTTGGTGGGGGGATCAGGAGTAAGAAGGGGGGGCTAAGGAGAGAGAGAGAGAGAGAGAGAGAGAGAGAGAGAGAGAAAAGAAAAAGAGAAGGAGGAGGAGGAGGAAGAGGCAGGGAAGGAAGGAAGGAAGAAAATTAGTTAGGGTTTTTAAGACAGAGTCTCACTATTTAGCCCAGGCAACTTGATATTCACCATGTAGCCCAGGCTGGCCTTGAACTTGCAATCTTCCTTCCTCAGCCTCTCAAGTGCTAGGATTACAGGTATGAAATACCACACCCAGCTTGGAAATCATAATCTTTAAGGGCAAAAAAAAGTTTGAATCAAATGCTAAACCTAGAAAGAGGAAAGCTCAATGTTCTGTTCCCCATACCTCAGGAAAAGGTGGGGATTAACCCTTGCCTGCCTGGTTCTTGGTTTGCAGTCTGGGCCAGCTTCTTACCCGAAATGTCTGCTCCATTTTCTCCTTATGAGACACTTGATCCAGAGTGCCATCTGTCTGGCTCCTCTTCAGACCAGTTGTGATGTCAGGGACGTTGCTGAAATCTGCAGAAAAAATGACAAAGACACACAAGTTTGGCTGTCTGCAATGAGTAGTGATGACTGGTTTAAAGACTCACAGACAGGAAGGAAGAAGAAAACTAACAGCTAGTGGGCAGCACAGAGTACTCCATAGAGACATCAGTTACCACGTGCGCATGGGCGATGCTACTGAAACAGATCGACTGGGGCTCTTGCTAACTGAAGAAACAACACCTTTGCCTGTTTTGATCAAAAAAGACCAGTCAAAATAACGCCTTTAAAAGGGCTGGGAGCTTGGTTCATCTGGTAGAGCACCTGCCTAATAAGTGAGAGGCCCTGAGTTTAAACCCCAGTACTGTCAATAATAATGTCTTAAGTGCCATCACCCCTCCCAAATGCTGCGTAAACCATACTTCACTAAGCTGTGATCTTGACAAAGAATCAAACAGCAGCGACCTTTGTTGGTATTTCCCTATTTTTGGCTAAGTCAGGGCAAAATTACCAGGGGTATCTTGAAAAAACAATAATGTAATAGCATAGACTTCATTTTTATTTTGGGGGTTCCCTCCCCACCCCCGGTACTAGGGTATCACACTACTTGCCAGGGCAGGTGCTCCACCACTTGAGATACACTCCAGTCCTTTTCTTGTTTTTAGCCGTTTTTTCAGGTAGCATCTCATGTTTTTGCCTGGGGCTAGCTTCAAACTCCATCTTCCTACCTAAAGCCTCTTCACACAGGCATGAGCCACCATGCCCAGCTTATTTTGTTGAGATGGGTTCTTGCTAACATTTTGCCCAGGATGGGCTCAAACCAAGATCCTCCTCATCTCTGCCTCCTGAATAGCTGGGATTACAGCAGGTGTGCACCACCATACCTGGCTCATAGACACTTATTATAATATACAACCTGTTTTTTACAAGTGTAATTCTTTTTCTGGTATCAACCATAATTTTATCCTAAATTGAAAGTCCTAAGAAGAGCAAACCCTTGTTAACTTTCAGAGTAAAGGTGAAGAAATAATATTACTGGTTCTTGTCCTTAACAATTTTCTCCACTGGTTTCTAAGTTAACAAATCCAAAAGAGATGGAAAGACCCACCTTTATCAAAACATAACATAGGTTTTCTTTCCAATTCTGTATTTGCTAGCTGCCCCCTCAATTAGAAGCAACCAGATAATTTCAGATCCTGGGCAGCTATAATAAGAAGTCAGTCTGTTTGAGTTGATTGAGCTCAAAAGGCCTGGATGAACTTGCTAAGAAAGAGGAACTGCCCAGCATGATGGAGGCAGGGAGAACAGGTCTGGAAGACTTTGAGAAGCTCTGGAGATGCTAGGAGTTGGCAAGACTAATGGAGACAAGTACCAGGACTAGATCCATGCTCACATTACCATTTGCTCTACAGGCACTTACTTCTAAGATGGGGTGGAGGGGCCCAGAAAGCATCTTAATGGTCTACAGAATTCTGCAGCTCTATTTTCTTCTTCCAACATTCTAGTACCATTCAGAAAAATACCAGATAATCCAAGTCACACTTCAATACTGTTAGTTGCAGACATAAGTTAGCTTAGCTAAGGTGGTACTGATCACAGAGGCAGGAGCAGTCTCTGGGGAATTTCCAGAGAGCAATGAAGGTGAGGATACCTGGGCTTCCCTCTCCTAGGTCCCTAACACCACACACAAAGGCAGTTATTCACCAGCAGGCAGATGGCAGGGGAAGGAAGCTGAGACCCTAAACCAAAACGATCAATCACTGCTCCTCCACTCAGATGTGTGCACCTTTGTTTAAGGGACAGCAGCTAAAGAATTCACAAAAGAAAAACAGTCCTAATTCCCATGGTTCAGTCTAAGCATCCCTCTCCATCCATCCATTTTATATGCACTTTCTGAGCACTAGCTCCTTTCCAGGATCTGTGCCAGGTGCTGAGTTATAAAGATGAGTAAGTCATTTTTAAGGTCTGCTTCTGGGAAGAGGCGCTGGTGAGGGAGAGAGAGGCAGAGACATGTGTGCGACAAAGTATCACAGAAATGGGTGCCAGAGCCTCACACCTGTAATCCTAGCTACTCAGGAGGCAGAGATCAGGAAGATTTCAGTTTAAAGCCAACCTGGCCAAATAGTTTGCGAGACCCTATCTCAAAAATACCCAACAAAAAAAAAAAAGCTCGCACAGTGGTTCAAACAGTACAGTGCCTGCCTAGCAAGCACAAGGCCCTGAGTTCAAGCCCCAGTACCACCAAAAAAAAAAAAAAAGACATTATAGATAACATGAAGAAAGCCTGCCCAACCTGCACACCTGTTTATTGCAGCACTACTCACAATAGCCAAGTTTTGCAAACAGCCAAAATGCCCCACTACTGATGAATGGATTAAGAAAATGTGGTATCTATACACAATGGAATTCTACTCAGCCATGAAGATGAATGAAATCTTATTATTCTCAAGTAAATAGATGGAACTGGAGATCATCATTCTGAGTGAGGTTAGCCAGGCTCAGAAGACGAAAAATCATATGTTCTCCCTCATATGCGGACTTTAGATCAAGGGCAAATACAGCAATGTGGTTGGACCCGGGTCACACGACAAGGCGAGAGCACATACGGGAGATATGGGGATAGGCAAGAAACCCAAAACATGGTAGTATTTGATATCCTCACTGCAGAGGAACTAATAGAGAAACTCTAAAGCGACAGAGGTCAATATGAGAAGGGGATCAGGAACTAGTGAAAAGGTCAGTTAGAGATGAATCAACTTAGAATGTAACACATTTGTACATGGAAGCAATGCTAGGAATCTCCCTGTATATCTATCCTTATCTCAACTACCAAAAACGCTTTGCTTTATTATTGTTTATACTCTTTCTTCAAGAAAGAGAGAAGGGCAGAACAGATTCTGCCTGGAAGTGGGGGGGATGGGGGGAGTGGCCCAAAAATGTATGCACATATGAATAAATGAATAAAAAAAAAAGAAAGAAAGAAAGCCTACCCAGGGCTAAGTGAGGACGCTTGAAAGAGAGTTCATTCTCCCTGGGCCTTAGAAGTCTTCTTTAAACCTGAGGGGGATTTGTCATAAAGAGGAAGATGATAAGGCAGGGTAAGCAGCAGGGAGAGGGAATTCCATGAGTGGGAAGCAGCTGGGTAAAGGCAAGTGGTCTGAAATGCTAAGTGCAGCAAAGGAGTCATTCTGTGTGGCTGCACAAGCAGAGTGGAGCACCAAAGGGACAGTGCCCTACAAGTTGGGAATACAGGGAGGGCAGGAAAATTAGTCAGAATGTCACAGCAACATTTCAGGTGGGAGGTGTAAAGACCCAAAAGGACACAACAGAAGGTCATGCAAAAAGGTGAATGATGGCAGAGCGTGATGAAGACCTCATAGGTCCTCTCTTTTTACTCCTTAAGTATAACAAGTTATAATGGAGAGCTATCCAGGGGGATACCTGGGTTTTATGTCTTGGGGACACAGTTGATGAGGAATCCAGGAAGGGAGGGGAATAGTAATAACAAGCTTCAGCAAAGCAGAGTTTGAGATACATCTGAACCATCCAGAGGTCAGGGAGTTGGCCAGGATCAGTGGTCAAACCCAGAAAGGTTCTCAGAGACATGCATATCAGTCACTAGAATAGTAGCTGATGGTGGCATCCAAGGGAAGGATGCAGAGAACTTACAGACTGACACATGTGCAGACTAGGGAGAGGACCATGGAAACAAGGCAAAGGGGTGCAGGAGAGGAGGCACCCTTCACAGAAAGAGGTCAGGAAGTATAAGCAACCTGAGAGAGTACCACCACAGGAGTCACGCAATGTGAAAGCACATTGCCTAGGTAACAGACTTGAATTTGCATGGTTGCTGACTTTATCTTGTAAATAAAGAACTTTGGTATTTTCAAAGAGTTACATGAAACACAGGAAATATCACACACAGTCCACATATGCACTCATTCATGATGGAGACTTCTGCAGCTGGCAGGTGCTATGTGCGGATACAGAGATGGAGGAGACTAGCAGTCCCTAGGAGGTCAGAGACAGCAAAGGCACAAGGAGCTCTGGAGTCTGATCGGCCAGATGGATGCTAGTGAAAATAGCCTGGGAGGTGTCAAAGTGGGTGCAGAATGAGTTCTGAGTCATTCATTCAATATATTCACAAAATTCTTGAACTTAATAAGTGGAAAACTTCCCAAACCAGTGTTTGTCTCTTACAAGAAGATTCTCCTTCACTTTCTAAGACCATGCTTTAGGTAAGCAAGAGGAAAGGTGTGGTGTATACCTGAAGACAGAACCCTGCCTGCTGTGGGATAAAGGTACAACTATATTTTGGTGAGCCCCCACCACCACATTCAGGAACCCTTACCTCCAGGGAGCTTCTGGGTGCTGCAAGGCTCCTCCCTGAGGCAGTAGCCTTGCTGGATGGCTGTTGGGAGCCAATTCCCAGTAGGCTAGCCCCTGGGTCCCAGAGGAGGTGGCAGCTCTGGACAGTTCTTGAGATCTGCCAAGATAGGAAATCTCAGAACTGTTCCACTGCCCAAAAATCACAGGGCAGAATATATCTGAACATGTCACATCCCTGGGATGACCAGTCATAAGCCAGTGCTATCCTATCCTGGAGATTGACAAGACATAGGGACAACCAAACTGGATAAGGCTCATGGCTGCTGACCTGATTCACAGAGTCTATAAACTTCACTGGGACCTATATTCCTTGGGGGAGGGGAGAGAAGCATGCCCAAGGCAGGCATTCTTTCAAGAGAAGAGATATGGTAAAGAAAAAAAGAATAGAAACTAGCTATAAAAAGAGTGTAGGCTGGTAAAATCCAAGTTCTTATTTACAAAGCTGATTCAACCAGGCGTCCTGGCCTGGGTGCTGGATTCCTGCACACAGTCCCACTTACACTCTGTCTGTGTCCTGCTGAAGTGGAGAAATATACCTTCTCCCTCCCTACAAAACACTGAGATCCGCCTGGAGAGCCTCCTCATCAGGGTGTGTGCACTATGACACAGCTTAGAGCTCTTCACCCCTGTGCACAACACTGAGC